AAAAAATAATAGTTATTTTGGGACGAAAGAATTAGACTAGAATAATAGTGATAAAATTAAAATTATAGTATTTAATATCTCTTATAAATAAAAAAATGAGAAAAGTAAATTAAAACACAAAGTAAATTGGAACAAAGGGAATAGTATTTTTTTTTTCCATATTTTTTTTAGGTACTAATAAGCTCTAGAAATGCACTATATACTGTTCACTTGTATGGTACATTTTTGATAATTCTTAACTATAACAATATTGATTAATAATTGAAATGAATTTTAAATTAATAAATATAAAAGTTATTTATGATACATATTAATTTATTATAAACATATATTTGGTTTTCATATCAATTAAATTATTTTGAGATACATATGCTGGGACAAATATCAGCCTCGATCCTTATCCACATTTTTCCTCTTTAAGTCCCTCAAGTTTGGAATTTTTAGCTATTAGGCCCCAAAACAATATTTCCTCTCACAAAAGTCCTTACTTAATGCTAAAATATTTCAAAATTTTGGGATATTACAAATCCCGTGAGATTAGTTATTGTTTTGCTAATTTTGGAAGTTGAAGTTACGGCACTGTTCACGGGTACTGTTCATGGGCACTGTTCATGCGCTGATGGCCAACAATTAACAAGGATTTAAATGTTTAGTTTGTAATATAAGAACAAATTTGGAGATGTCCGGTCATGTAGAGACTGATAGAAATAGCATCGTGATTAGGGGTGGTTCTAATGATGATTTCACTTTGAAATTGTGGTAGTGCGGTATTAACTTTGGAATATTGTGATTAGGTTTTGATCGTTCTGTCACCGTAGCACTTGGGTTAAGCCTTCTGTTCTGTGCGAGTAAGGTAAGTAAATTATGGTAACGCCCTTCGATTTCAAAGCATGTTTTAAACTGTTTTTGAGATGGTGGAAAGGTTTAAATTGAGTTTATTTGCACCGAGCATGATTGGTTGAAATGAAATTTTTTTCATTTGCATTGAGTAGAGCATGCCTATTTGGAATTGACTGAACTGCCCTAATGATTTGAGAATTTTGTAAATTCTAATTTTTCTGATAAATCCATGTTCACATGGAAATTTTTCGGTTTATTTCTAAAATTTGAGATTGATTGTGAATTACGGATTTTTTTGTAAATCCTGCATGGTTTTCTCTCTGATATAGTCATGATTACTGACGCTCGCCAGTGGGAGTTTGCAAACGCTGGCACATGTCGACATGTTTACTGATATGACCGATTCATTCTGTAATCCTACCAATGTGATGATTCATTGGTAATTACTGACGCTTGCCAATGGGAGTTTGTTAAACACTGGTACCTACTGACGCCTGCCAATGGACGAATACATTGGTAATTACTGACGCCTGCTAGTAGGAGTTTGTTAAACACTGGTACCTACTGACGCCTGCCAATGGGCGAATACATTGGTAATAATTGACACCTGCCAGTGGGAGTTTGTTAAACACTGGTAATTACTGACGCCTGCCAGTGGGAGTTTGTTAAACACTGGCCATGACTTATAGATGAGACTATTACTGAATTTGATTCTGCATAAACGGTTTGTCATTGAACGCTTTGCTGTTGAACTGAATTTGATTATGCATTAACGGTTTGTCATTGAACGTTTTGTTATGTTAAACTGTTTATCAGACATGCTAAAATTTTACCCAAGGGCTATCCATATTTACTTACTGAGTTATCTCATAGTTTTTCCTTGTCCACCATTTCAGGAAGCGAAGTCAAGGATGGGGAAAAACAAGGGGAGTGACGAGTTAGAAGGCTAGCCACCTGTAATTTGATATAGATTTTAGATATAAATAATGATCTTGTAAGCTAGACTTTATTTGGAGATTATATGATATCAGGGCAAATTTTAAAATTTTATCTTCAGATTTTGTGGTATCAGATTGTGGTATGATAAGTTCCGAGCCTTGTGCATTTATGGGATACTCTCACGAGTGCACGACATTTGTCACGTCCCCGGATTTGGGTTCTGGGGCGTGATAGTATATTCTTGTTCAAATTTACTGAGTAAGGTCAAAGTTGAAATCAATTGAATTCCAACTTCTAGTCTAGATAAAGAGGCAATGGAAGTCCAAATGTGACTCTCATTTCACTAATTAAAAACTTGACCCATTTTATTGAATTTTTTAAATTCAAATTTTGTAATAGATGAAAAGGGATGTACGTAAAACTATCTCTTATTATATAATTTATTGTTTGACATGACAAAAAAGCAAGGCAGTGAAAGATATAATAATTTGTTGCATATTATTTTTCACTGATTTAATTACTTATTTTTCTAAAAATAACTCCAACAAGCACAACTCTATCTATTTAAACCTCAATTTCTTCTAAAGTGATGAAGCTAATATGAGAGAATCAAATATAAAAATTGATAGTACCAATAAAATTGAAAGTTCATAATTTATTTAAAATTAAATGTTTGGGGGCAAAATTTGACATTTACCCTAAGAACAAGCCCAATTGCCCCATCAAATCCTAGACATTTGAGTCTTCATATCTTTTTTGTTTTGGTTTTCGCCCGGTATCCGGGGCTTCGCCCCGACTACTCTAGACTCGACCAGCTGTGGCGCACTAGAATGGTGGGTGGGTCTCCCAACGAAAGCTGCTGCATACACAAGGTTTCAAACTCGAGACCTTGCTTAAGCTGGAACAAGCCGCTTGTCACTTGATCCAACCCTTCGTTGGTTGAGTCTTCATATCTTATTCATTTCTAAACCATTTAAAGCACGTAATATATCGTAAAAAAGCCCAGTGATCTATCCACTCAAACCAATTTCATAAAAAGAAAGCTTAGTAAGAAAGCTTAGCATGTTAAATTTTCATATGAAATTATTGTCCAAAAAATTAAAAAAATCAAATTAAAACTACTAAAAATGATCAAAGTACAATTCAAATTATATTAAATTGTACCATATTATAAATAGAGACTTAATTGAGAAATGAGACTCTTAAATTCAGGACCTTTCTTTTCTTAAGTTTAATTTTGTACAATCCAAACTGTGCAAGATAGTACAAATATTCCCATACACTAGAAAACAAGGTATAACCGACAAACTTATAATCGACAACCAAATTTCTATTGGTTATACTTGTATAATCAACATCTTTTTTGTCGATTATACTAAGCTGCCGATTATGTGCAATTTTCACCAATTTAATCGACAATTTTTATAATCGACAACCTTCTATTGATTATACAAGCATAATTGATAGAAATTTGGCTATCGATTATATATTTTGTAAAGGAATAGCACACCTTTCCTTTTATCAAACTTATAATTTCTATAATCAATTACAAGCTAAAAAAAAATGGATTCTTACTAGCTTTAAAACCAAAAATTTTACAAGAAAATCAATAAAAAGAAATTAAAGAAAAAAAAATTTTAAGTTAGAAAAAAAAAAAAGAGAATTAGATAAACCAAACCGACTATCAATTTAAAAAAATAGCACATCAATTTAAATATAAAACTTAAAAATACAAAAATAAAAAAAAAGATTAAAAAAAATCAGAACATTATACTCATAATTAACAGTAGTATAATCGATAACCAATGACTGTCGATTATACTTAGCATATATATTTATTTATTTTGTATAAGATGAGAAGTTACTGTATATTTAATAACTTAAACTAGTTTTAATTATGAAGTATTAGAGTTTATATTAACAAAATATATAATATTAATAAAAAATCTAAACAATCTTATGGTAAAATGAAAAAAAAAAGTATAATATTTTGTAAAGAAATGGCACATCTTTCCTTTCGTCAAACTTATAATTTCTATAATCAATTACAAACTCAAAAAAATGGATTCTTACTAATTTTAAAATCAAAAAATTTACAAGAGAATTAATAAAAAAAACTAAAGAAAAAAAATTTAAGTAAAAAGGAAGAAAAATTAGATAAATCAAATTGACTATTAATTTAAAAATATAGTAAATCAATTTAAATATAAAAATTAAGAATACAAAAAAAAGGATTAAAAAAAAAAAAAAACATAATCGACGGCCAATGACCGCGATTATTCGTATCTTGTGTACATAAATCACGTACGTGGTCGCTCTTGTTTGCTTGATTCAAGTTCCTTCCGTGCAGTGACCTTGACTTTCTCTAATTCCCCCGTTCCAAGTTTAATAAAGTCTGACGTATTCCATTTTCGAAAAAAAAAGTCTATTGTATTCCTAACCATACCAAACAACACGTGGATCGTAAAGGGAAAGTGGTTTCTTCGAAAATAACTTTGCTATCGATTATACTCAGCATGTGTATATATATAGGAAAAAGTTTCTTGTTAACGTTATCTCCTAAATATTAGAAGAAAAATTATTTTAAAATTATGTTATTTTAATAAATTTTTATTAAAAAAATTAAATCATTTTATTTTTAAAATATGTATTAAGGTGATTTTTGTTCTTTTTCTTCTTAATTTTAGAAAAATAAAGCAGACAAGTACTAACCCCATATATATATATATTTATTTTGTATAAAATAAAAAGTTAGTATATATTTAATAACTTAAACTAATTATAACTATAACGTATTAGACTTTATATTAATAAAAAAAATTAACAAAATATATTTCCTCAAAAGAAATGGAGACTATTTATCAAGGTTATAGATTTCGTATCGTATCAATTGGTACAGTTAGTACGTATCAATTTTAATATTAAACCAAAATGATATATGATCTAATTTTATTTCGGTCAAATTTCACTTATTTCGGTCAAATTTCACCTATTTCGATCAAATTTTGATATATTGATTGATATTTCGATATACTGACTGGTACACAAAAATTACCCAGAACAATTCTATTTAAATTTAAAAAGGGTAAATTTCATTTTTAATCCTTAACTTTAATGTTTTATATAATTTTCATCTTTTAGCTTTTTTATATACTTTTTTAGTCCACTCTTCATATTTTTTTCAATCCTTCTATCAATTATTCTATTAAGTTTATTTAAATATACACATTTTTAATCATTTAATTTAAAATGAATGGATGAAAAATATACATATATTAAAAGTTGAGAGATTAAAAATGATCGTTTTAAACTTGTTTTCAATTTATAAGAATATAATGATTTTAAACATTAATATTTCTTATTTTATTTTAAAATTTGATATGTAATTTATCAAAATATATATTTATAGCGATAAATTTGAAACGATATGTAAAAAATTTCAATATCTGATATGTACCATTCCAATAATAAAATCGATATGCATATTGGTGCGGTATTAACAACTTTGCTATT